TCCACATGTAAATATTCTTATAACATTTACTTGCTTAGTCCTACATATAAAATTGTTTACTTTTATTTATAAGTACGTGAAAATAATTCTTAAAATGTGGGGTTAGAATAACAGCAAACGCATGTTTTACAAACGCTTTTTTTTAGTTATTATTTTATTTGAGTAAATTTAAATGGTAACAATGAATAAACAAAACATCAAGGATTTTATTTTTGTGCTTACTTTTGTTCTACACGTTTTACTTAAAGATTTCAGTACCTAAAAACGCCAGAAATTTCACTATTTCTCGGCCGGGAATATGGCCACCTTAAGTTCATTTGCTATACGCTACTCCCTACGTCCAAATTTTCAGAACCAACTTGACCACGTTTTTATTTGAACGCTCGTTATATACAGGGTGCAACAAAAAAATAGTTGAAGAAGTTAACCACAGATTTTTTAAGTGAAAATAATGAAACTTGCTACTTAGGCTCTTCTTTTCCTAAATACAGAATGTCAGAGAGTATCAAAATTAGGAATAAAGAAAGTCTAATTATTTTCATTTCATTTATTTCCTTTTATTTCTAAGACAAGGTGCATTCGAGTTAACGAGGAGGAGGAAGAGTAAGTGACTTGCAGGTGTTTGTAATTTTCGCCGTGTTCATTTTGCAGCAATTATCAGTAATTAGTTCAAGTAGTTGTTACAAAAACTTGAAATCTAGTCGCTACTTATGAAACTGCTTTCTCTTTCGCAAGATATATGAAAAATGAATAAATCATTATCATTAAGTTTACTGCTAGGTACTAGATATTATGATCCTCTACGCTTGGGTCCTTTCTAATGAAAGGACTGCTTAAATACTAGGTAGGTATATTTTTATTTAGGTCTGTAGGAGATTGTTGCTACTTCCGCCTATGTACCATTGATCAGATACAAGTAGACTTACAATTAAATATCAGAAGTATGCATTTGCATTACCTCACTGTCACTTTCTCATTAATAATAAATGGTGCCTAGGTATAAACAAAAGAAGCGAAAATATGTAACATTTTTTATTGCAAAGTATAGCAGCGACATTATGATAAAATTTCTTTCTGGGTTGATTCTTCTTATCAAAACAAACAAAATATACAGTAACGATTCCTTCTATAAAAAATCCTTCAAATATTCTTTAATTACTTAGGTTACTGTTGTATAATGCTTATCAGAGCTAGTGTCCTACTTTTGGGGAACAGCGTGATCGTGGAACCTCTTGGGAAATTTTGAATTTCTTTCGAAAGGTTATGGATGTTTAGATACAAATTTCTTTAAATGCTATAAGTATTTATAATCCTTTTTTTATAATTCTATGAAATTTAAATAAAATTTAATTGAGATTAAAACCACCATTAGAACAAAAGTAGAAGTTCCCGAAAAAAATATTGAGTTTCTCCAAAAACTTTTGTAAGCGTAGAACTAATAGATTATGTAAGGATACCGACATGACCAGATTTGCAATTTTGTTTTAAGAAATTGGCTCTCTGTTCTAGCGCGGCGCGACCTAACTTTTGAGATCGTCGTAAGTGTCATATTTTGATTTATCTCGTCGAGCTACTCCAGATTAAGTACAAAAGGATTTTTGTACGTGGTTCAGAAGTCGAGATACTGAAGATTTTGAAAGTAAGAGCGCTTTTGAACGTGCGAATTCAGTTTTCGGAGCGACCGAGTAGCGTTACCCCCACTGCGTCGCCCGCTACAGTTAGCTCGCGCCGCGCTTCGGTTTGACGCACAATTAAAAATACAGAAGTGGCTAAAATGAACAATAATATTTTTTTATTGAAAATATAAGTCTTCAACTTCAATCTCTGTAAGAATAGACGTTGTAGCACTTAAATAGCGGCCTGTGGAATTTTTTGAAAAAAAAATTATCTGGGCTCCAGAAGGTCTTAGAGCAAAGTTTTTTTTTTAAGTTCTCGTCAAAATACCTTCAATATGAAATGAAAATCGAAGAAGATATTCAAGAAAAACGCTACAATAAAATTTTTACTTTTTTCAAAGCAATTTTTGGACATTTGAAATGAATAAAATCGTTCACTCTTTTTTGCCATGAAAATACAGCTATTAAGGAAAAAAATGAGTTCTGATTCGTTTCTCTACGACTATTCGTAGAGCCAGAAGAGCTGATTTTCGAGATGATCTTTTTTTCGAAAAATCGATATGACTCGAAAAAGAAAAATAAACTTTTTTTGCTTGCCCAAGGCTACATTTACAGCAGGTAACAAGTTTCAAAACTTTAATTTGCAAGAGATACAGCAAAAACAAAAATTAAAAGTCAATTTTTGACGTTTTTTTCGATATATCTCGAAAAGTAATATAGCAATCGATGTATTGAAAAATAAAAATCGATAGGTTTTTTTAATAGCTACAACTTTCTCATTTAACTTTTTTGGAGATTGGAGTTCAAGTTTTTTTTTTAATAGCGAAAAACCGTTTTTTTACTTTTATGACTTTTTTAGGTTAACTTCTCCGTTTATGCGCCACAGGGAAAAAACACTATTTACCATATTTTTTGTTTCCAGGTGGTATTTTTTGTAAATTTAACATTATGTCGTGACAGATTGATTAGACTATTATACAAAGGTGCTTTCTACAACTTTCATCTGCTAAAAGTGATGGTGTTTTAGATGTTAGCCGTTAGCCTTCTACAATCATTTGAAATTAGTTCCTCTTTGGTAAATCTCAGTGTTTCTGTGTATTTTTTTGTTCATTTCGTCCTGTGATTAGCTGCAAATACTTTTGGATGTTATAAAATAAAATTAAAAGAATATTAAAATATTGGGCGTGAGACATAGTTTCTCATTGAGAATATTGGATTGATCTTGTCTAGTTCCGTCATAGTAGCTACCTACATGTAAAGTCTGAAAGCACCTAACCAGTAGCGTCGAAATTAGGAGGTTTGAAAAGCTTTTGTTTTTAAAAAATATAGTTAACATTTGTTTCGTTGAAAATGAGGTAAAATTAGATTAGGTGTAGAACTGATTTTCAAAACTTTTTTTAATGTGCTGTTTTTGATCGTAACTAATTCAGTAAATACATCTCGCAGTTATCTTCAGTTCCTAGCGGGCAGCCGACCAGAGCACACGTGTTTTTGTGAAAGTGTAGTGCAAGGAGCAATTTCTACCTGCCTTTATTAAGGCTACCTGGAAAGAATCCCTTTCTTTCCTTTTAATCACCGACCTAATCCCCGGCTTAAGCATAGACGCCGTCGGCATCTTTGTTACAGCACCTGTGCCGGGGTTATGCCCAGGTAAGTTTTTACTTATTTATCAGTTATTTTCATTACTTTAGAATACATTTCTTTAAAATTGCGACCCCCGACAAACAATATACCAGACAGACAAATACACCAAAAGACACGTACGCCCCCGTGAGGGGGCATCCCCACACGACTAACACTTACACACCTTCCCAC